CTGCCTGCCCTCTTTACCTTTGCCTTGTTAATCATTTTCAGTTTCAGCCCGACCAGACGTATTTTATCGTACGTTATGTGTTACGTTAAGTTACGTTATGTTATATACTTACTCACTTACCTGACAATCCTGGCATTCCCGGCATCGGCATGCTCCGACCAGTTCCGACGCGACGCGACGCGACGTCCCGCTCCGAATTGCCCAATTGCCCGTGACCCACGATGCACCACGATTCGCAATGTTCCTGCCCTTTCCTTTCTCAACTTTTCTCATTCTTTCCCCAAACCCACCACGATTCGTCTCCGACCTATCCAGAGCACGGATTTTCGCGGGTAACCTATCGAATCTACGCTCTGATAACTTTGGATTTTATCCATGCGTACTCTCTCTAGTAATCCTGACATACCCAATTACCTAACCCAAGTACCCAAGTAGTTGGTTGGATCGAGAACGGGGCTCAATGGGGCTTTTTGTCACTTTTCAATTTCAACCTCTTCTCTTTATTCTTTAAAAATGAAATATACTATTGTACTCTTTGTTCCGTTTCCATATCGTCGTACGTAAATCCTCCTTGTGGAGTGTTTACGTTAGATTGATGCAACTCTGCCAACTGTAAAGTAACTATGATTTTACGTTCATGTGCAATATTCGGTGCGTGACGTGAGATGCGTCGCGTTTACGTTTTAAATTTTTGAGCTTGATTTGCCATTCATATTTCATTCACAGAAACAAATTCTTACAAACCTTTGTCTGTTTCAACCTCTCACACGAGATCCACCATCCACCGTTCTCTGTACTTTTATTTTCTATTGTCCGTCTTCCTTTTTTTCTCTTTCAACGTCTCATTTCATTTCCACTGCAGAGACGACTGTAATATATTATCACGTTATTTTTCTTACTGTATAGAATCCAATGATGGTATAATCTTCAAGGATTTGTGAGGATTTGTACAAGTTTGTGCAACATATGTAAAGTAAACAAATATTCTTTTGAAGTGAGTCAAATAATTACATAAGGCACTGTACGTACACACGTATCATGCCGCATACAGTTTTTAAGACGTTCTCATCTTTTACTTTTCATCATTCTAATAATATTTTTTATTATACACAGGATATTTTATCTAGATAATGGCAGAAGAAGAATTTGAAGAAAAGGAGTACCGTTGGGAAACTGGTTACGAAAAGACATGGTATGGATTTTATGTTGTTTATAGATCCATGTGTATTTAATATGGCACTCTAATCTAGATAAAAGTTTTATATCCATGTAGTATCAATCTAATAATATAACAACAATTCTTGACAATTGTATACCTATTTGGAATCTATAGGGAGGCAATTAAGGAAGATGACCATGGTCTGTTGGAAGCCTCTGTCGCAGATATTATTCACAATGCTAAGAGAAAACGTCAGCTGGAAAGAAAACAGGGTGCCAGATTAGGAATGATGAGGCATTTTTATATTATCTTAGATGCTTCTGAATCAATGTCTAATCAAGATTTGAAACCAACTCGTTTTCTGTGTTCTCTAAAGGTACAATGAAAGAATATGTGTATTATCTATATCGTCTCTCTCCTATATGTACAGAATATCCACAAATAAGATCAAACTATGTTAATGAAGTTTGAATAGATGAAGAAATTTCATAGAAATTTATGTCCAAAAAAGTTTTATTATAAAAGTTACAAACATTCAAAGATTTACAAGCTGAACAAAATTGTTCTCTATAACTTGTTATGTGAGTTATGTAATTATATACATGATATATTGTACATTCCTTATTTTGGAAAGAATGAGTTTTTCAATCAACAATTCCCTTGGCATTAGATTGGTCGCTGTGCATTGGACCAATCGTTTCATCTCCTACCTCATAATCAATTAATAATTACTATTAATGATTGATTATTAATTGATTATTATTAATCAGATTTAATATCTTTTGACTTTTATTTATGAGGTTGCATGCAAAACTATTTATGGAAATATAGAAACAAAAGACTAGCTTTGAGAATGTATTTAAAATGCACGTTTACTGTTATTTCTTATAAAGTAGAAATATTTGAAAGAATTGAAAAGTCATTAATTGAATGAATGCAAGCTTGCATATTCTTGCAGAGGGAAAAGTTTTTAAACATTTATTCTAACAGTTGGTTTAATCTGCATACATGTATGAGACGTGTAAAATTATTCTTATTCAACGATTCCGTGTAACAAGTCATAGAAAATGAATCTGTTTGTAAATCTTTGAATGTTCATAAATTTTTAATGGAGTATTTTTGGATATAAGTTTATATGAACTTTTTTCATTTATTCAACTTCATTAACACGCTGTCTAAGTTTGGTCCTAACCTTTGCATATACAGGACATCCTATATATGCTCGCGATTTAAAATATAATGTACAATATAATAATATATTATACAAGGTGTTCAGAAAAGGTCGAATCCCGGATTTACTCGGAGGACGTTTTTGTTGAAAGAAATGTTTCAGACAAAAGTTGTAAGGTATAACAAGAACTATTTACAGATCTTATTAGTTTGATCTTGGGTGACATTGCCAAAATCAGGTCAAGGTCAAATCGATTTTTTTAAATGGAACACTCTATTTTTGATGCCAGAATCTAATAGCTGGGGTCAAGAACTTTTCAAAACTGTATGATAATTAGATTGTGGAAGTTTATGCAAATGCATATTTTTATAGGATAGTATTAAACAAGTGGGACTTTGATATAAATATGTTTCGTCATTATGGCATTTTGAAAATATATTTTTTATTTTACATATTTTGCATATTGCATATATTTTTCATATTTTGCATATTTTGCATATCACATTATTTCCCATATTTTTCATATTTCTGGTACATATAATAAGTTAAACTTGTTTACAAATTAACTCAAATAGATCTAGTTCTCTGACCTCGATCGATCTCGCTGTTGTCAATAATAACAAAATACAAAGTACGAAAATTTCGTTTGCATTTTCAGCATTTAAACATATTTTTTCTGATAAACACCATCAATTTTCACTTGATAATTTAGAGAAAACGATTGTTGTTTACTGTAATTTGAATTATGTCTAAAACGCGATATTGTTTTTAAAGTACCTGAGCCGAATAACACCTAATGTTTTTAATTTTATTTATGGAGATATGGAAATAAACTAAGTGAGAAGCAAATCTTCATTTCATTTACTCTTAAAAGAAAAATATATTGTTTAGAAGAATATGTGTAAATGAACGAAAAAAAATTTTTTTAAACTCTGACATTGAGCCTTATTACACGCTTATGAATATAATAAGACCCAAATCAAAGTAAATTAAAAATAACAAAGAAAGTAAATATTATCTTTTCAAATCAGTTTAAAAATGATTATTAATCATAGAAAGGAAATTCCGTAGGACTTACTTTACTCTCAAATATTACAATTATCTTTAACTTATAATTAACTCTTTAATCTTTGGAAATTTCTAGTAATTTGAATGCAATTTTGGCTTCTTAAAAGATAGCAGCACTGAAAATCGTTATTCTCCGGCGTAAACTCCACACATAACAAACAAATAATAATAGCTATAATAATAATCACAAAAGTGAGTCTTATTTAATAAATACGTTGTTTGAAAAAAATACTTATACTTATTTCAAAAAATTGGTTCATTAGTTATTTTAGGTTCCTAACTATAGTTAGGAAGTTGAATAATATTATAATGAATTATAATAAATTATGAAGTACATTGTATACTAGTAAATTTTGCAGTGGATTGTTATAAAAATGGCTCATAGACACAAGTTCTTATTGTATTAAACAAACGTGTTGCTACCGATTCCAATTCTTTAATCTCTTTTTATCTACTTCCTATGACACACCTTTTAAGCATATACTGCAGGCTTAAAGCGAGTTTTAAAGTAATAAATTTAAAAGTAGGCCTTATTCAGCTCAGGTACCTTGTATGTATTAATAGTTTATATATTAGTAGTTTATATACGTGTTAGTAGTTTCTATAATTTTATAACAGTTTGAATTAAAATCATTACATTATGTGACATAGAAAGATTATATTTAGCATTTAAATTTATTTTTTTCTGATAAATTTTTCTAATAAAAAATGCTATCAAGTTTCACTTGATAAAATTAGAGAATTTAGAGAATTGCTGTTTACTATAATTTGAATTATGTCTGAAAAGTATTATGTATATCTATAATGTTATGTTATAATATTATAATTTGAATTAAATAAAGATTAAGTGTATTCTTACATATATTTCATATATATTTTGCTATTTTGTGCATATATATTGCATATATGTTGCATATTAACAGCATATAATTCCTGCATAAGCTTCCGCAGTCTAATGATAACATTTGTCAAGTACAAGGAAACCCCCCCCCCCCATTGGAGATTATATCTTCTTTTTTTCATTTTTACGCAAAAATGAATTTTTAGTGCAAAAACAAAAATAAGAAGAATAATCTCTAATGGCTTTGATCTTAACAAATTTTATCCAGGACACGATCCTGGACAACATTCAAGAGGTTTGAGCCGTCGTTCGGACACTTTGCGTAATGCTAATGCCGGTGGTATTGTAACTTTCAAGCCTTGTAATTCGAAAAAAATATTTAATGAAAATAACTTTAACTTTATTACAGTGTTTTGAAAAGCTCTTGACTCCAGCTATTAGATTCTGGCATAAAAAATAGGCTGTCCCATTAAAAAAAAATCGATCTGACCTTGGCAACGCTACCCAAGGTCAAACTGATAAGATCTGTAAATAAATCTTTTTATACCTTAGAACTTTTGTCTGAAACACTTCTTTCATAAACGTCACCCTCCCGAAGAAATCCGAAGTCCCGACCATTTTTAAACATCCTCTCTCTCTCTCTCTCTCTCTCTCTCTCTCTCTCTCTCCATATATATATATTTTTAATGTATTTATCTTAAGCTCTTAGAAGATTTTATCGAGGAATTTTTCTATCAAAATCCTATAAGTCAATTAGGTGTAATTATAACTAGAAATAAAAGAGCTGAGAAAATTAGCGATTTAGCTGGTAACTCAAAGAAGCACGTTAAGGTAATTATTTTATTATATATTATTCTTTTTGTTTATCATATCTTGAATATTTTTATTGAATATCTTGATTATTTCGTTTTGCCTTATATCGCAATCTTATCGTCTATTTTATAGGAATTACAAATTTTACAACAAACTGTAGTAGGCGGTGAGCCTTCTTTGCAAAATTCTTTAGAATTGGCAACAAAGTTATTGAAATTATTACCATCACACGCTAGTAAAGAAATATTGGTAATTATAGGAGCCTTGACTACATGCGACCCTGGAGATATCAACGAAACAATAAAAGTATGCTTTAATCTCTGTGTTCTTCATTTGCTTCGAAAATCTATCTTTTTTCAATGTTGTATTTATTTTAGAATATGAAATTGGATGGCATTAGATGTAGCGTAATAGGATTGGCCGCTGAATTATACATCTGTAAACGAATGGCTAACATTACCGGTGGCGAACATAGCGTTGCGCTCGATGATAAACATTACAAGGAGCAATTGAATGCACATATAGATCCTCCGCCTGCTGCAATGCGATTAGATGCAGCGCTTGTGAAAATGGGGTTTCCTCATCACGCTCTACACTCTAATGCGCCAGATACATCTATAACAGTATGTATGTGGTAAGTGCGTGAATCAGAATAATATGCTCCGATACTTTATTTTGACTTTACTTTTACGCGTAATATTTGCGCGTGTTTTCTTCTTTAATGTTTACAGCCACGCACACAATTCCGATGAAACGGTTAAACTTATGACTACCGGCTACCTTTGTCCCCAGTGCCTCAGTAAACATTGTGAGCTACCTGTGGAATGTAGAGCTTGCGGTCTTACTCTAGTATCCGCTCCACATTTAGCCCGATCATATCACTATCTATTTCCTGTTGATCCTTTTAAAGAAATTGCACCTGACAGTGATTATACTATCTGCTTTGGGTGCCAAAAAGCTTTTACCCAAAAGGATAAAAAGGTAATGGCTGTCATTCCTCTTCTACACTAATACAAGAGTTTAGAAAATTATCGAAGTTTGTGATAAATTCAACAAATTAAAATTTATCAAAGACAAGATGTTTTTTTAATCTGCCAAGATGTCATATATACATATATATATATACATTTGAATATTTTAGGTAGCAAGCATATCATATGTATTTATTTTTAGGTATATACCTGCGGAAAATGTAATCAAATGTTTTGTTTAGACTGTGAGATTTTTATTCATGAGATATTGCACACGTGTCCTGGTTGTGCAATAAATCCTGAAACATATAAGAAAAGAGAGTCTACAGATAGATCTTGAAATGGCACACTTACCGATATAGCAAGAAAATTTGTATAAATACATATGAACATTACGATAAAGGTGATGCATTTGCTTGCGCGCGCGCATTTATTCTAAATTAAAAATATTAAAAACAGTTTTATATGTAGAAAAAGAAGAAAAATATTCTTTCTATACAGATTACCTACAATATTAATGATACTAGTAGCTGTTTGCTACAATATTAATGATACTAGTAGCTACTAGACTATTTGAGATTTGTGTGCGCGCGCGCGCGCGCGTGTGTGTGTATGTGGGGGGGAAGTGTTTGTGTGGGTGTGTACATATACATATTCATATTATATGTATACCTAATGAAAAGGATAACAAGTATTGGCAATATGTTTTGACGATTCTAACTAAACGAAGTAAGGTACATATTTTGTGTAAAAATAGTGTGTGTGTGTGTGTGTGTGTGTGTGTGGGGGGGGGAGAGAGAGAGAGAGAGAGAGAGAGATTGCAAGTGTCCGAGTGTCTGACATGTGACTGGAAGTTTGCGATAACAAGTATAGCGCAGCGACTCCTAACGCAACGCAAATGTCCTACTTCAATAGTATAGTGGGGGAACATTGAAGCTTATTGTTACATAGACAGGTGGAAAGTGGTTACTGTGAAATTATAGTACGTTATTAATTTGCGGTTGTCCGCCGAAGCAACTAGTTCTCGAGTACGTTTGACGCACCAGCAATTTGATACACATTATTCACCTTATGTCGATTAAATTTAATATCGTGTACATATTAATATTCCTATTTTATACACATCGTCAAACTAAGGTAAGCTTGTTTGTTCAATCACATCATGACAAGTATTTAATCATCTTACAATCAATGTCAGAGTAAATCTGCTTTATTAATTGTTTACTATTATTTGTCAATTGTGCACTTAAAGTGCGTTGGAAGATTTTTATAATTGAGAGTCGATAGGATATAAATATTGTCACATATCTTATGCATAAATGTTTCGTAAACGTATGTACACACACACACACACACACACACACACACACACACACACACACACACACACACACACACACACACACACACACACCCCCCCCCACACACACACACACACACACACACACACACACACACATACACAGTTAATAAAGGACAATTATATAGAGCCATTGAAGAATAGATAACATGTCGAGAAAACTATAACATCGAATGTATCTATTTACATTTACGACATAATGTAGTTGTGAGCTTCTTTTCTAGATAAAATGTATAAATCAATGTCAATCAAAGTCAAACGTATATATTCTTTGTCCTCTAAATATTCTAAATATAGATGTTAATATTTATAAAGTCTCGGTTTAAAAGATACTTTAGATTATAGAAATAGTTACAGAAAATACGTGTATCATTAAATTAACATAACTTAAAACCTCAATAACTTTTTGTTCATTACTGTCTTTCGTGTTATATGAAATCTTGCATTTTACATTATAACTTTTCTCAGAAATTGATAAAATAACGGATAATTTATGTCTAATTAAAATTAGCAATTTACACGCGAATGGACTTTTATATACTCTTTTTCTTTTCTTACCTTAGTTGAAAAAATAATGTATAATTTAATAAATTAGCATTTTTAATCGACTAGCTCGTAGCTTCGATAAAAAATTATATTATTGACAAATCTGGATTAGCTGGACAAAGCTAATTTAATTTCTAACCATTCAAGGTTTCTATTATGAATGAATTGAATAAAAACGGATATCCAAGTGTGTCGGACTGTATAGCCGGTTGTATAACTGTATTGAAGAGGTATGAGATTAGCTACGAACTAAATATCCTTGTTGGACTATAATGTTCAGATTCCTACCCGAGTACTACCCAGATATTACTCCATCCTTGTTTATCGAACGTTAAACAAGGATGACATGATCGGAGAGCACCCGGATGAGAATCCATACACGCCCTTGAATAGGTGATGCGGAATCAAGAACGTAATTATATATTATTATCGGTACTCATCGTCGGTAATTATCGGCAACATTAAACAACTACATTTAATTCGTAGGAAATATATATATATATATATATGTGTGTGTGATCTCATCGTAATATGGCTTCTGAAGAGAGTTTGTTTCAATTTTATGTTTGAGTAAATCGTCTAGATATACATGTACGATTATCTGCATGACTACATGACAATTATTTTTATTTAAAAAGCGTCATAATATGTATGTGTGTACATACACACGCGTACATACACAAAATAGGAAATCTTAATGGATTCTAAGCTTATTAAATAATCTTTTATAAAATCGAAATTACACTTTATATCGCGCTGCAAGCATTAAAAACAAACAGCATATGATAAAAATAAATATCGTTGAGGCTAACAAAAGTTAATAAGCAAGATTTCTTAACGGCAGAGGAATATATACTATTTTGATTTTTGTCTTGATGGATATTAAATAAAGAGTTGTTAAAGGTGAATTATGTATTATTAGTGTACACATTAAAAGTGTACAATAAAAGTGAGTTGATTATTTTCTGTGTCATTAATTTTAATATAGTCCACCTTGACCAATTGATTAATGATTTTCTAATAAAATAAGTTGTTTTCTGCGACATTTGTTCAGAAAAATATAAATAAGATTTATATATTGTATTTTTTAATGAGATATAATATAACTAAAGCAGAGAGCGAGAGAGAGAGGGAGGAATTAAGACATAAGATAGGGCATTCTCTTATATGTATATAGGTGCAATCTGAGCCTAAATGTATTTAGAGATCTAGACTATTATATTTAATACGCGCACGATTCCTGATGTGAAGTGAAGTGTAAGAGACGGTTCGTAAATATTTGCTCTCTTGACTTAAATGCCTTTGATTCAAGGTGAGTGTGTTCTGTGTGTGTGTGTGTGTGTGTGTGTGTGTGTGTGTGTGTGTGTGTGCGTGTGTGTGTGTGTGTGTGCGCGCGCGTGCGTGTATATTTATATGTATATACATGAGCGTAAAAGCAAAAGTCTTGTGCGTTGTTTGATTTTATAATTTTATATGATTATCGACCGTGAGTTATCGAGCTTTAATAAAAAATGTAATATAATTTTGCATTCAAAGGATAACTGCAAGTTTGCTATAGCGTTGTCTTAATTATCATTCGCGAGACTAAGCGTTTGAGTTTGGTGTGATTCCTCATCTACAATGAAAATAACGATACAAATAACGGTACGATATTTAGAAACATAATTAAGAATATAGTGTGGTTGTATTCGTTACATAAAACACTTGAAAAGTTGCCAATTATTCCGTTTTTGTTATCATTTTTTACCATTAGATTTATTAAATTATTTATTCCATATTCTGTATTCATTTTTATCGTCTACTCGTAGTTACCAGTGGTACATGTTTTATAACGTAGAATTACGAATTCTTAATAATTATTTACAATCCTTTACCAAACGTTTTTACAATCCGAATATTTGAGCATGAAAACTGATAATAACGACGGTCATATAATGACTAAGATTACATTTTGCAGCACTCGTGGCTATTAAAAGATAAGATCCTTTTCACGTGTCGTAGAAAGGATGTCGTATTGCTTTTTAAATACACACGATAATAATAATTGTTCATTGCAATAACAACGACACTGTTTAAAAACCAAGTTTTTCAGAAAACGTAAGTTTGAATATTTTAAATCATAAAAATTTTGTAATATTGATTTTAAAATGCAATTTTAGTACAATAACTGTTTATAGAGACAAAAATACACGTTCTTTTATTATTTTTTATATTTTATGTTTCTATTTTTAATATTAATTAAGTTTTATGCTAATGTGCTCAAAGTCTTGAGTAAAGATCGAATGGAACGATTATACGGGGAAATAAGTGAACGGAGAGAAAGTGGCACCAAGGTTGCAAGCAGTCGTACGTACGTACATACAATACAATCGCGACGGTAATATTTAATCGAGCAGAATTTTCGCGGCTTTGCTATTTTCACATATAAAGATTGAAAGATATCTCAATTAAATTACCTACCTTTTCTAAATTTATTTGATGTTCCTCTTTTCGATTTTTACTTTTTGAATAAACTGTCGGTTAATGACAAATCCTATATTTTACTGGATATTAAAATTATTGTTATAAAATAGTCGACAATATAATTGAAATTCTAATAAAACTCGTTATTGCGTAAAATATTGAAAACGAAGAATTAATGTTCTTTTTCAAACTATATTATCTTTGGCTATTCTTTCCTGATTCTTATCCTCTTTCGAGGTTTTACAATTTTATAAAACGTTTTATGAACGTTGCACAATTGCCATTTTGCGGTAAACATGTTTTTGCAAGGTTTTGCAAGAATTCTTGCTGAGAAAATGTCAGTTTCCCTAAATCACATGCGCAAAATATTGATATATGTGAAATAAAATAATACAATTATCAAAACTCAAAATTTAAGGGAAAGGGGGATCGTAGAAAGTGCGGTGCGCGAATATATTGCACCTTCTATAAGTGTTAAAGGAACCCCGAAATTTTGATTAAATATAAGATATAACTATTTTTTAATGTTTATGTCCATACAAATTAATTTCGCGTATCCAAATTATATTTATAACTTCAAATCAAGTAAGAATTTAAATTTAATGAAATTATCTTTAGTGTTTTAATGGATATTTGTATGTGTGTAATCTTTTGTTTATAACCGAACAACGATTGTTAGGCAACTTAACAAGCAATAATTATTGTTTGGATTGATATTCGAGTTCTTGTGTAGTTTAAGTAAAAGTAATGGCCGAGGGACGGAAAGCAGTGATAAATAATTCTTTATTTATACTTTTCTTATAATACGTTTTTAATTCTTTCGATGTGAAAACATATAATATATGCCCTGAGAAAGTGCTTTTTCTAAAATGTTTTTTAACTTCGAAAAAACTTACAGTAAAAAGACAAAAGAGGAAAAATGTTTGTTATAATGCGCACGATTTGTATAATTCTTTTCAAATTTTTTTAAAAAACTCCTACCGTCGATGTTAAAGAAAATTTTCACACAAATAACATTTTACACAAAAATTCGATATTTGAGAAAAATCATTGTATCAATTTTTTTCAAAAAGCATT